GGGGTTGGGTGGGGTTTTTTTGTTTTTGTTTTTTGCCTTTTTAGAGAGTAATCCACACTCCCAATTATAGAAAGTTTTGAAAATGAAGAAATGCAAAAGAATTAAAATGTCACCCCTGATCCCACCACCCAGAGACAATCACTGTTAAGATGATTTATTCAGCCATTTACTGAATACCAGCTCTGTGCCAGGTCTGATCTGGGGACATAGCACTACTAGATGCCATGTGGTCTTTAACAAGTACAGCCAAATGCCATGTCAAATAAGCTTTCCCACAACTAAACTTCGCCCTATACCTGTGCAGGTAAACATGAGGTGCTGGTCTGAGCAGGGAGAGCATGGAGGTTCACCTTTCACATCAACCCTGGCCCACTGGGCTACAGGGCTGGGAAGCATTTGAGGCTGTTTTTGCTTAGAGGAAAGAGGGCCCCAGTAGCTTAGCACACCTGGCTCAGGGTCTCGGGACCTCTTCCAACTCTCAGAATTCTGTGATCCTGGCTCCTTTCCCTCAGTCTTTGTGACTTATTATGCAAAAAGTCATGCTAGAATCTCGTGGCATCCTGTCAACCCCCTTCTACTTGGGAATGAGAAAGGGGAGGAGCAGGGCTGAGTTTTGTTTTGATGATGTTGAGTCCAGCTAAGGCAATGGTTCTTGACCAGGGCAGTTCTCCCCTCCACCCCGGGATGTTTGCAATGTCTGGAGATATTTCTGGTTCTCAAAACCAAGTGGGAGTTACTGGCATCTAGTCAGAAGAAGCCAGAAATGCTGCTGGACATCTCATAATGCACAGGGCAGCCCCCCATGACAAAGAATTGTCCATCCCAAAATGTCAATAGTTGCCAAAATTGGAAACCTGGAGTTAAAGTGATGAAGAGGGAGCTGGAAATATGGGGTCAGGGTGCTAAAGAATAATTGGGCCTTAACAGATAAGGCCTGATTGTGAAGATATAACAGCGGAGAAGTAAAGAGTGACCTTTAGAAATGGTGTCACAAAGTGACAACAAGGAGAGGCAGGCAGGAAGCATGGAAGGAGCACCCAGAAAAATAGGAGGGAAACCAGGACCTGTTATAACGATGGAAGCCCCTGGTCTCCAGAAGGAGGTTGACAGTCCCAAATGTTAATCACTGGTGGGAGCGAGGGGAGAATCACCTAGAGAACTATTTGAGGGTTGTTGCCAAGGACCTAAGCTGCTAACTGTGGGCCCTGCCAGGGAGAAGCTATACCACCTCCTGGTGGGCAATCCCAGGTGGCATGAGAACTGACCCCGGGCTGAATGGGTGAAAGCTTGATCCTACCTTAGTGTACTGTGCAAGCTGGGAGGGGCAAGGTATGGCGTATGTGTGACTGGGAAACTTAAGGACTCATAGCAGAGTGTAAGGAGGTAGTTGTAAGTGACACTGGACTGGATGTCCTGTGTGCATCACTGCTGCCTGGGAAGGCCACTGACCTCTGTAAGCCATGGTTTCCTTACCTATCAGATTAAAGGGCTGGCTTTTTATACTTATTTTCAGCTCCCAAAGAGTCCCCAAGTCTAGATTTCAACAGAAAGGGTGTTAGACACAAATGCGGGTTATGTGGCCACACTGATTTGCATGGGGCTACCGGAGAGAGTCATTGCACAATCTGCAGTTACTGAAGCTTGATGTTGACATTTAGGATTTCCCTGCAGTGTGGGGAAGTAAGGGTGAAAGTGCAAATCTGTCCAAACTGGACTCAGACTATACTAAATACATCAACATTTCAAATGGACATGGCCTCTCTCGTAGCTCTACCCACACGTGAACACTTATTCTAAGGAGGTACGCAGACAAGTGTACAATATGTTATGAACCAGGGGGAAAAAAGAAAATAATGTAAATGTTGGGAGGGGTAAGTTAAAGAAAAAGTTATAGACACAATGGAATACTAGGGCATTAAAAAGATGATATTCCTTACCTAGAAAAAGTTTATATCGTGCATTAAAAAAAACAGGCTGCAAAACAGCAAGTACATATGATTGCACTTCCATGAAGTTACCCATCTGTGAACCTACATGTCCAAATGTGCATCCAGGCAGAGAGGGCATTGGCAGGTGGCAGTCTCTAATGCACATTTCAGGGCATTTTCTCTATTTTTCCATTTTCTATAAGAAGCATGTATTATATTTGTACACCGGAAAAGCTTAACAATATTAAAATGTTCCCAACAAAAAATGTTCAGGCTACCTGAAAAACATGTGATTTCCTCTCATTCGAGTGGGGATTTAAGCTCCTTTGGTGCAGGATAGTGGGACCAGGGGCCAGCTGTAGCCCTAGAATCTGGTTTCTACATCTCCCTACAAAGATGGGGATAAGCTGAGGCTTCAATGAACTGAGCCTCCCACATGACAGAGATAGCTCTACTCTCTCCCCCGACCAGCTTTGTGTCCTCCCAGTGTGCCCTGTGGTCACACTGAGTGCTCTGCACACCCCTGCGGCCCCAGAAAGAGTAAACTGCTCTTTACAGGTCAGGCCTGAGCCTGTGGTCCAAGGGACCACAGAGGAGTCTGAGGGTGAGACACAGGGAAAGGTGGGCGAGAGCCAGCTCCCTATTTCCTTTGCCTCTCTGGTGAGGGGGGAGTGGTGTCAGCTCCTCACTGCCCCTCCTGGCCGGGGGTGAGTGGTGACGCTAGGCCAGGGTGAATGTGTTTGTCTGTGAAAGAGGCTGTTTTTAAAGCTCCCTTCCACTTTCTGCTGGCAGGGACATGGACAAGAAATACTAAGTGGGTGGGAAGGTATCAGGAAGGAAAATTGTCTCTCTTGATTTTCTTGTCCAAATAAAACAAGATAAGCAATACGCTAGTAAACATGACAGAGGATATAAACTGAACCTTTGAGTCAGTGCTCAGACCACCCACAACAGAATCTCAGGGGACTTGCTAAAAATTGCCCTCTGCTTGTCCTGCAAGGCTGCCAGCAGGAAACAGTCAGATAGGGGCCCCCTTCTTTCACAGTGCCCAGCACTTGGTGGTTGGTTTCCCGAAAGACCATGGGGAGCCAAGTCAGGGTTTCCTCCCACTCTGACTCAATGGAGCAGGGCTGGAATGCAGTTTACACCGAAATTGGACTGGCTCCCTCATGGTGAAAACCCTTTAGTGCTGCCCACAGCTGATGGGTCAAGTCTGAGCTCCTTCACTAGATACTTGAGATTGTCACTGCCTGCCACTGCTGACCTCTCCAGTGGTCAGTACCTGTGCTGTAGTCTCTCAGACTCTACTCTCTCCCCCGACCAGCTTTGTGTCCTCCCAGTGTGCCCTATGGTCACACTGAGTGCTCTGCACACCCCTGCGGCCCCAGAAAGAGTAAACTGCTCTTTACAGGTCAGGCCTGAGCCCTGGAATCGCACTCCTCTGAGAGGCACCGCCTCCACCCTGGGTTCGAGACCCGAGTTGCCAGTGCAGAGGCCATCATCACACCTAAAATCTTCTACACATTTATTATGTACAAAAGGCAGGGGCTGCAGCTGGTCCCTGTCTGCAGCACAAAGCCTGGCACAGCACCAGCATGGAGTAAATGCTTGCTGAAGGAACTAGAAGCTCAACCCTGGCATTTCTGAACAACCATCAGACAACCTACTAGCCACAGCACTGGCCTCACCATGCAGAGGGCTAAAGGGCAACTCTCCCAGCCAGGGGTTGGGACTGTCTCCCTTCCTCTACGAGGCTGAACCAATCACATCGATAAGACTTTTCTGGAAGGACTTGTGAGCCCAAGAAAAAAATAAGGGGTTGCCAGGGCGGGAGAATGAGTCCAGAAAACTCCCCAATTCATAAAGGCACTCACCAGATCTCCTGATGGGCATGTTTTTCCAGTCTTCAATCTCCCCCAAATAATCCCTGACTAAATGATGTCTTTGTAAATGGGGAGGGCAGTCAAAATGCCAAAGGGCACGCACTACACTCTTACAATATAGGCTGGTCTCGTGTGATACAGAGAAAG